CCAAAAGCTTGCCATGCAAACCCAACACACTGTAAAATTCACTGCAAAAGGCCAAGAGGACGTAGTGAGATGAGATAAATTTTAGATGAGGGAAAAGTTGAGATAGATAAAAATAAATGTGTTTTGCTATGGGGAATGTTCATGGGGATGCGTGGTAAGGTCAATGTGCATTGTTCCAGATTTGATTACTGCTTAAGTATGATTTTGCAATCTAGTGGTTTTTTTTTTTTAATCCAGATGTGATTCAGCATTGCCAGAGGGTCAAGCCAATAATTGATCTGGTTCATAAAGTCATCAGCACTGATGTATCGATAGCAGATTGCCTTCTGCCAATCACGTCACGAATCTACATGCTCCTGCAGAGGTAAGTCACTGACCGGCATGAAGTCACTAACAGTGGAGGTACCTGAGAAGATTTAATGAGCTGGAAGAATGGCTAATTAGTAATTTTGCCAAGAGCTTTGCAAGAAGTGTGTCTCAGTGCTCAAACTCCCCAGGACTGGTGTTCTCAAGACTGTTCTGGCTACACACTGATTAATGCTTTGATGCAGCAGAATGGCCCTTCTTTCCTGAATGTTGTGCAATTTTATCCATTTAAAAGCATTTTTTATTGGTAGCTATATTTACATGAAAGGGGAATAAAATATATCATTAGAGCAGTATCTTCCAGGTGTTAAAACAGTTGTAGTTATCAACTCTCCTCTCAGCGTTAACTGTCTGGGAATTGATGTTCTGCTGCATAATTGTTGTTTGCTGTGAGAGGCTTCTTGCTGTCTTCCAGCCTTGCCTCTTGCAGTAAATTGATCTGACTCAGGTGTGAGGGGGAGGTGGCAAGTCTAGACTGAAAGTGCAGACTCTGGTGTCTGCGTTTACCTGGCTAGGTTTTATACTTGTGTACTTCAGTGAGAGAGGAGCTTTTTTGATCAAAAGAACAGTATATAGGCTAGACGACAGGTGGCAGTGCTTTTTATACATAATATTTCTTTTTCCTAGGCTAACAACTGTAATCTCTCCCCCTGTGGACGTTATTGCTTCTTGTGTCAATTGTTTGACAGTACTGGCTGCTCGGATGCCAGCCAAGGTGAGGAAGTAACCTGGGTTTGAGAACCAGTAGGCATATATATGTGAATGAGAGGGAGTAGCTGTACTTTTTCTCTTGCAGGTTTGGACTGACCTTCACCATACAGGGTTCTTACCGTTTGTTGCCAATCCAGTGTCCAGTATGAATCACATGATTAGGTATTCGTGATCCCCCAGCCCTTTTTTATTTTTATTTTTTCCTAACCTATTCATAACCTGTCATAACTTTTTGCCAGTGTGAAATCTATGCATCTGACATCTCTCACTCACATCAGAGTCCTGCTATCCTGTAATAAACCCTCTTGCTCATTTCACAGTGCAGAGGGAATGAATGCTGGGGGCTATGGAAACCTATTGATGAGCATAGAACAGCCTCAAGGAGAGTACGGCGTTACCATCTCCTTCCTGAACCTGATCACAACTCTTGTCCGGGTGAGTGCTTCTGGAATGCTCTGCATGTGAAGTCAGCTGTAGGCTGTTATGATAGCAAAGTGAGATACAGCTGTGCCTGAGATCCCTTGTGCAACAGGTCTCTATGAGTAATCATTGGTTGACGCTCCCTTCTGCACTGCTGTTTGTGCTTTCTCCATAGTCTGATTCTTTCAAAAAAGCTGTTATTCAGATTCATCTGATCTACAAAAGAATAGAAGCTGCTTGTAAATCTATGTCCCCATGCTCGATAGTTTTCACACACTTTAAAGATATAAGGTGTATCTTCCTGCAAAAAGTTTCTTGTCCTTTTAACCACGAGCAGGACAATAACATTTCTGCTTCTCCTAGGGACAACTTGGTAGCACCCAGAGCCAAGGACTTGTGCCTTGTATTGTGTTTGTCCTGAAGGAGATGTTACCAAATTACCACAAATGGCGTTACAACTCTCATGGAGTGAGAGAGAAAATTGGTAAGGATGCTGAGAGTGGGGAGAAGGAGGAGGGAGTAAAAAGTATCACCTGTCTTCTCAGAGAGAATATGTGGATTTTTACTCCTTTTTTATCATATCTTTTTTAGCAACCATTTGGGATTTCCTTTGTATGTCCACCAGTAGTGCTCTAAATGCTGTGATTTGTTTGAAAATATTAGGAACTAGGCAACAGATCTTCCTGAAATGAGTAGTCCGTTTCATCTCTGTTTTAGGATGCCTTATTCTACAGTTGATCCATGCTATACTGAATTTATGCCCTGAAATGGATCCTCGCAGCAGGTAAGACACGTCATGGATTTCAGATCTGCTCTAGCCTGGCTTAGAGTGCAGGAGGGCTCTGCTGCTCTCTTTTTGTTTCAGTTTTTGAATGTAAATGACTAGAAATGAACTGGCATGGTTGTGTAGCGCTGGTTTCAGCTCTTTGCAGTGTTACTGAGTAAGGAAGGGCAGAAAAAGATTATGGACATTGTTTTTTAGAAGACTTGGTGAAGAAATAGAAAACAGTAAATAGATTTCCTGGGACAGACTGCCATCCACTTTCCAGTTTGCCGTATCTGCTCTGAAGAAAGTAGAAGGGAGAATAAAGTAGGGGTCAGTGGGGGTGTAGAAATTAAGAGGTTATTTTGTGATAGTTTTCTAAGTGCTAGGTGTGAAAATACTGCAAGTGCTGTTAGTGATGATGTCGTGTGTTGTTTGTGTCTGACAGCAACGCCCCCAGCCTTCAGTCCTTGTGCATCTTCAGCCTGGCCAACACCGAAGCAGGGCAAGCTGTCATTAACATCATGGGAATTGGCGTGGACACTATTGATATGGTAATGGCCTCCCAGTCTAGTAGGTGAGTGGTGTGTTCCATTTCAGTAGTGCGGGGAAAGAAGCAAATTATAGTATTTCAAATGTAGCTTCAATGGATTGCCGTTAATGGGGGATCAGGATAGCGGCTAGCCATGGCAGCCTGCCTCGCATGTTCTGGAGGAACAAGCCTTGTTTGTTCCAGATCTGTATGTAGTCTTTGCTGTACATGCTCCATTTCATGCAGTTATTCTAGTTTTCTAAATCTAAATGACATTTGGAGCATGCCAGTGGGTGTAAATGTGTTCAGTTGTTTCACATTTGCCAGCAGTTACGCTTGTTTTGTAAAGAATTCACTTGAACTTAATTTATAAGATTGAATGACTGAATTAGGTGCAAGAGGATTAGAGCCAATATTAGAAGTTCTGTGTCTTCAGGTAACACCAAAGTTCAAAGGAACTATGCTCATGAATAAATTGTAATAAAGCTTGAAATGTAATTTTGGAAATGCTAGGGATGATCAGTCTACTCAGGATGGTTCTGAAGTACTTAAAGTATTGAAGCTATCTTCAGTGTTGAGCACCTTGACCTTCTTATGTGGCTCTCTGGAGGCTTGGTTCTTTTGCTTTAGCTATGGTTGGATCTCCTTCCTTTCCTCTGTTCTTTTCCTGGCCAAATTTACTTGACACATAAACAACCTGCTAGCAAGTTTGGCTCTGATAGTCTGCTGTTTTTTTCTTTCAAAACTAGTCTGGAAGGGAATCCAGACTTGTTGAGTAGAAAGTGAGACTTATTTGAGAAGCCTTTTTGGCTTTAATGTCTCTCTAGAATGTTTATCTGATAAGGAAGATCTTAGGAAAATACCAGACTTAGAGCCAGTTTTATCTCTTCATCCAGTTTTGGTTCACTATAATTTCTATGAGATTGGTTCTGTAAATGTTTCTCCCTCTGTCTTAAAACATTTTAATTCTCTGTATCCCAAAGAGGGGGGGAAAAAAAAAAGTGACAACAGGCTGTCAGGCCCTTTTTCTTTTTTGTTTGATGCTGAAAACTTGGGGCTGGGTAGACTATTTTTTGTGGTTATGTGAGGGTTTGTATTTCAGCAGCTGTTATGTGGTGCCATGACAGTCTGAGTAAAAATGTCTTATAACCCCCAACTGACAGAGTATAGAATTTCCTTTTTGAATGTTGTGCAAATAATAAATGTTGGTTGTCAACACAGTTACTTACTTGGTTTCTTTTTGGAAACACAGTGATGAGTCACAAGGCCAAGGTCAACTGCTGATCCAAACAGTTAAGCTGGCATTCTCGGTTACCAATAATGTCATCCGGTTGAAACCCCCCTCTAGCGTGGTGTCTCCATTAGAACAGGCACTTACTCAGCATGGTATGTATTTCTCCGTGGGGGCAGCCTGGGAAGCTATGGGGGTTTTTTGTTATTTGCAACTAGTCAGTGTGTGTCTCGTTACAAACAGTAGTTAAGGTTTCAAAGTTCCAAGAAGTGGTTTCTAGTGATGGGAGAAGGCCTATTCCCCCTCCTCCAAGGCATTCTTCTCCTCTGGGACAGCTTCTAAGTATTAAGCAAATGTAGCTTGTTGTTTGCTGCTTTGTAATGAGATGGGTGTAATTACAGAATCTAGTAAATCAGCTGCCGTTAGTACCCCTGGCTGGGCCCATGCCTTCTTCTTCTGGAAGACTGACCTAGTTCTCACCTTCTGCTGTGGAAATCATTATTTGCTAAACAGTTAGTTACATCTTGTTGCAGTTTCTTCTCTTTGATTTTAATTGTGTTCTATCCAGGTGCTCATGGAAACAATCTTATTGCGGTCTTGGCCAAATACATCTACCACAAGCATGACCCTGCACTTCCACGCCTGGCCATCCAGTTGCTCAAACGACTGGCTACGGTAAGATGGGACTCACACAAGCGCTCCTTTGCTTCTCCCTTTGTGACTGATTCTGCCACTGAAATTCTTTCAAGATAACTTCTTCAGGCTTGTTTGTACTAGGGAGCTTAACACAAGTCAGTTGAAGGCAGTGTGGACTGAAAACTGTAAGACAGAGCACATCAAAAATCATATAAAGGGCCCTTAGTTTTTTAAACATAATCCTCTGCTGTTTCAGAAGTCATTTGGCACCTCACTGAGAGGCTTCACATGAGTGCGGTGTTTTCTGCAAAGTATTTGCACCTTCAGTTGACCTTACTTTTTTTTTTTTAATAACTTTCTCAAGTCCCACTCTTAAATACAATTCCTACACCTTAACTGGAACTTTAAGATCTTACTGAGAAGAGGACCTTAGTTAAGTTTTTATTGGGAGCTTTCAACTTTGCCTTTTAGGCGTACTCCTTTTGGCTACTATACTTCTGAGAATATATTGGCAGTTTTATTAAAGCATATGAATCCAGCTCTGGGTTTGTTTATTTCAAGAAACATCATTCCAAAACTGTTTTTCTCTTCATCTTTTCCACTTTTGTCATAACCCGTGAGGGATAGAGCAGAATTGCCAAAGAGGAAAATTTGGATCACTTTGCAGGTTTCTTCCTGCTTAATGACAACAGCTTACTTTGGAGTACATACGTTTGTAGATTCAATATCAAATATTTCAGAGTTTCAAATTGAAATGCAAATCACCTTTTATATAGAGAAGCAGCATTCTGTAGGGTTTGGTTGTTCTTGTTTGTTATGTTCCCTTCCTTTTGCAGGTTGCTCCCATGTCTGTTTATGCCTGCCTTGGTAGTGATGCTGCTGCCATCCGTGATGCCTTCCTCACCCGCCTGCAGAGTAAGATTGAGGACATGCGTATTAAGGTCATGATACTGGAGTTCCTCACAGTTGCGGTGGAGACACAACCTGGGCTCATTGAGCTGTTCCTGAACTTGGAAGTGAAGGATGGCAGTGACGGGTCAAAGGTAGAATAGCATATATTTGCCCAGGCATTCACTAGTCTTTTATTGTAGCATTCCTGGCAGTCTTATGGCACTGGTCTCTAAAATCTGATAGTTCTTATATGTAACCTGATGTGCTTAGTGTAAAGGTAAACACAGCTTGTGCTTGCAGTTAATATAAGAACATCTACTGGGTCTGAGCAAAGATCCCTTGGCCCACTCTCTTGACTCTGACAGTGGCCAGTCAGTGAGAAAGCTGAAGACTGAGGTACAATGGACCATATCAGTTTTCCAGAATACCCATTCTGTTGCTTTGCAGTTCAAGGTCTTCTTGGGTTTGGGCCTTCTGAAGGTTCTTGGTCTTACTGAGTCTTAGCATTGCTCATTTTTTTTTTTTTATTCCCCTAAACATATTTTTTCTGTCCTGTGTTAGGACTACATTCCTTGTAGTCTTACAGAAAATATATGACAGCATCATGTACTCAAGATTTATTTGTGTATTGTTCAAGTGGAATTAAGCATATTCTGCTTTAATAGGTGCATACATAGTGGATCTGTGGCGATGTAACCTTTCTCGTTTCCTTTTGCTTTAGGAATTCAGTTTAGGGGAGTGGAGTTGCCTCCAAGTAGTCCTAGAGCTGATAGACTCCAAACAGCAGGAGAGGTACTGGTGCCCTCCCCTCTTGCATCGTGCTGCCATTGCCTTCCTGCATGCTCTGTGGCAGGACCGTCGAGATAGCGCCATGCTGGTTCTGAGGACAAAGTGAGTTGTCTTTTCTACAATGCATTTTCCTTCCTTTTTTTTCCAAAACACCTGTTTCTTTGGTTCATCAGACTTTTCAGGGACATTTGCATTTTAGTCTTTGTGTGCCCTGGTAAGGAAGGGTGTGCAGTGTATGGGCTTTGAACTTAGTCTCTTGGGAAAGGAGAAGTCCACATGTGCATGTGCAGAAGCAAATATATTTTGTTCTGTTTCTTTTATACAAAGCTATATAAGCCTGTATTTATCAAAGCGTATTTTCTATGAAGTTTGGAACAGTCAAAATGCCGCTAGGCACATGACATGGGGGAGATAACTGATTTTACTTCTGTATATATCTTTTAGGCCAAAGTTTTGGGAAAATTTAACCAATCCCCTCTTTGGGACCCTTCCTCCACCTTCAGAATCATCAGAGGTGAGTTACATCCAAACAAAATTAAGGTAGTTCTGTACTTCTCAGAAAAGGTTCTAAGTGGTGTATGTGACTCTTCCCTCTGCTTGCAGTTTTCTAAAAGGAAATATGATCAAGTGGTTTAAATGCAGGCAGGAGATGAAGTGAATGCTTTCTGGCTTTGCAGAGACTGTACAGCTATGAACTCTTTTGAAATTCTCTGCTCTTTATTCACATAAAAAACAAACACAAATGTTACCTAGCATCTGCGGTAACACTCTTTGGAAGCTATGCTGTCTGTAGTGTATTCGTACTATACCTTGTGTGCTGTTTGGCAAACTAAACTCCTTTTTTGGGGGCCATAGCTCAGCCTGATTAGTATCAAAGGGGAATTAATTATGTTCTTGTTATTATTCCTTTCTGTGGGAGTTTTCCTCTTCATTATGAAAGTCCTGTGCTCTCACTCAGAGTGCCATTTTGAACACAGCATTCTTTCCTTATTGTCACCAGTCCATGGTCAAATGACATAACTATTGCTGTCGTGGGAGAAACAAGTCTCCTTCAGAACTGGAGTCAGTCACTGCAAGTGGATGGGTGGGGATAAATCAGAATCCCACCAACCCTGCAGAGCTAGGTGCTCAGATTTTGCCTTTTTCTCTTTTTTTTTTTTTTTTTTTTGTCTTTATAGCTCAGTGTCTTGGATACCTGTGCCTTAATCATGAAAATCATCTGTTTGGAGATCTACTATGTTGTCAAGTGAGTCTTTGGTAGTCTCTCCTTTGTCCCTGTACTTTTTAGTTATTTAAACTGTGTATGTTAAATCCTGATAGACCATGCAGGCTTTGAGGGACAAAATACATGTAATCCTGTGAAAATGCGGGAGGAACAGTGATTTATAAACAAATCACAAACCTGCATTTGAGATTCTTGCAATCACCAACTGCAGAAAGAGGTGTTACGGTGTTTCTGCAGCCTTTAGGTGAGAGTGTTAGTATTTTCTTCGTACCCTGGAATGAGAATTTACAGTACTTAGTAAAACTAATTGTAAACTAAGCTAAGTACACCTACTATAGTGATTGCTGAATAACTTTTTAGTAGTCTTCTCCACTCTCTTTGTTTTCCTGAACATAACTGCCCTATAATAGGTTAAAAAGTCATGATTAACTAAAATCTCTGCTTTAAAAAAAAAAAAAAAAATCATAGATTTTCTTCAGGGATCATGTTTTTCCTTCACATTTGATGCAAAAAGTGAGATTCCCTGTACAGGTCTAATATGTGGAATAACCTTCACTTGCAAGCTGTGTCCTTGGCTTTCCTACCTGAATTTCAGAAGAGATGTATCTTCTGACCAAAGAATAAATGAAGATAACTTCTCCTCTTGATTTGATCAGGGGCTCACTGGATCAGTCCCTGAAAGACACACTGAAGAATTTCTCCACCAAAAAGCGCTTTTCGTATTGGTCAGAATATGTGAAGTTACTGGCGTACCATGTGGCAGAGACGGAGAGTAGCAGCTGTGCCTCCATGACGGAATATCAAATGCTGATCTCAGCCTGGCGGATGCTGCTGATAATCTCTACTAGTCATGTAAGAGCTACCTCTTATCTTTCGTCATAACCTGAAATTAACATTTTGAATAATACGATGTCAACTTCTCAGAGCCAGCTAAGTCATAATGGCTTTTCTTTCAATTTTCTTGTATATATGCTTACAACACAAGTTGGCATGAGCATGGTACGAAAGGTTGGAGTAGGTGGTGTTCTGCTGTTTGATCAAAATGAGTATATTGTCTGTCGGAGCAGACAAGGGAGGTAGTAAATAATTTTTATAGCAATTCTAAGTAATTCTGTAATCCTGAAAAGATTTTGCTGAGTCAGGTGAGGAAGGGATGCGCCATTAGGGAAATGAGTCATTGCTGGCTACTTCTTGTCGACTATTAATTGTGATTTCTGTAAAACTGCATCACTCAGCAGCTATGACATTTGGTGAATTCTTAAAGTAACAAATTAAAACAGTAGACTGATGTTAGACTGGTAAGAAGGTGCATCTTTTGCTGTGCTTGATTGATCTCTGTCTTTGCGGATCTTAGGCAGATATAATGCATCTGACTGATTCTGCAGTTCATCAGCAATTGTTTCTGGATGTGCTAAATGGGACCAAGGCTTTGGTAGGTGATGCTTCCCCTCAGTTCTTTAATTTCCCAATTGCTTTTTGTACTATGAGGAGTTCTATTTCTGCAGCTGCTTGCCATCATAGGTTTTATAGATCCTGTGAAATTGGGCTAAAGCAAAGTCCCTCTCCCTGAATTGATGATCTTCTTAAAAATCTTTATTTTGTATGTGTTACTCTTGTCATTGCTGGGTGACCCTGCGGGGCATCCTGACTCTGGTTCCCTCAGTGTTGCTAGCTGCTGAAGATCAAACCTGGTTGGTTGGTGGTGGTGCTTGGGCTGAGGCTTTCTTAAGTGCTCTTACATGTGACTGTTGCAATTGTAACTCTTGCAGTATTTCTTCTTAGCTTCTAGTTCCCATGTCAGTATCCTGTCTGCAGCTGGGATCTATGCTATGTACCCTTCTTCTGATCCTGCTCAAACAGTGGAAGAGGTAGGTATTTTGTCTAGATAATTATTAGTCACTGCTAAATATAAAACTTGGGAGATTACATTTAAGTGTTTTGCTCTACTGAGATTCCCTTGGTGATTTGGGAGGAAACGGAAACCTTATCATAAAATTCTCTTTTGGGATAGCAAATGTCTGTAGGTTGTTGCTGAAATCTCTTGTAGTAATACATTTATGGTTTGGTTTCCTGCTTGCTGGTGAAGAGAGTATCAAAAAAGCTTTTGTGTTAGTCAGTCCTGCATTCTCACTGTACTGTGGAATGTCCTTAATGAGATCCAGGTGGTGACTTTAACTTTACTTGGAAGAACTGCTTTTATTTGTGTGGATCATATAACTTATGATACACACAGCTCAGTCAAGCCAATATATTTATTGAGGGATCCTGTCTAATCTGAAGAGCTCTCCCTTTTTGTTGTCAGCGAGTTGGGTTCTGTGGATAAAATCATAAACTCCTTGACGCAGATTCTGGAGGGAGTACTACAGGCAGATCAGCAGATGATGGAGAAAACCAAAGCCAAAGTGTTCTCAGCTCTTATCACTGTGCTGCAAATGAAGGAGATGAAAGGTGAGGTGGTGTATGTGCAAGTGTATAGAGTAGGGTTGCCATGGCTGAATACACCCCAACACTCTAGCATTTCCAAGATAAAAACATGTATGGTGTTAGTAGTAGTACAGGATGCTGAATATAGTCACCAGCCTGTGGGACTTCACTACTTTTTTTCTTACTTGTTTTAGCTACTTTTAGAAAGAGATGAGGTTTATCATTCACAGTATGTGTATGTCTTCCCTTCTCTTGTCTTTGCCCAACAGTAACCTCTGTGTTTGATCAGTTTGATAGAGACAAGACAGAGTTCCTCTGTGTTTGAACATAGCTCAGCGGATGTGGGAGGGATACCCTAGTAACACCATCTCACAGGGTGACTGTAGAGCTTAGATTCTGACATGAATTTCTAGTTAGAGATAACAAAAGACTCAAACACAAGAAAGTTTTCAGAGGGTACGTTTTATTACAAACCAGAGAAACTACTCTGGTCATTACTCGTGTCCCTTGTGGGGCATCTTATATTGCAGTAGCAATCTGGGCAGTATTTCTCTGTATTGGGGCAGTATTGGTGGAATCTGGGCAGTATTTCTCTCTACAACACATACAAAGGCAACTGTAGTGTTGAGAAGTGTATTGGCTTACCTTTCTGTGTATTCCTTGTCCCACTGCTTGTGCCCTGCAAGCCCATATATTTTGGAAAATAAATAGAAAGTGGAGGGTTGGGTTGTTTTAAAATGTTTTTGTTTGCTGTTGAATTGAGTTTCCAGTCATGCTGGTAATAGGTGGTGCAATTTATTATAATGGTTTTGATAAGAATGCAGTATTTGTACGGACTCACAGAACATAGCCTGCACCCAATCTGCATGGGCCAGTACCAGCAATCTGGAGAACTGGGTAGGAAATGCTGTAGTGAGCAGTTATGGAATAATGTTTGTAGTAGTGCTTGATTTGTGCTTTGAGATGTCATGAGTTTATATGACTTCTTGGTAAACTACATGTTTTTGTTACTCAGATGACCATCTAATCCCTTATTATATCCTCCTAGACTTAATCATCTAACTTAGTCACAGTTCCTCACATTCTGTGTTTTAGGCTTTGAAATGAAAACAGAATAAATACTAACTTCAAGAAATGTGGCCCAGTGATGTTATCAGTTAAACTGGAAACCTAACTATAAGGATTGTGTGTTAACTGTTCTTTACTCTGTGTGTGTCACAGTGAATGAGATCCCACAGTACTCCCAGCTGGTGTTGAGCGTGTGTGAAACACTCCAAGATGAGGTTATTGCACTCTTTGATCAGACTCGACACAGCCTGACCTTAGGAGATGCTACAGATGACAAGGACAGCATGGAAACAGATGATGCTTCCCGAGTTAAACACAAAGACCAGCGAGATGGGGTAAATGATTTGTTCAGCTCTGCCATGTTTCATCTCTCTAGACAAAAGTTCCATGCATGTTTGGAACAACTTTCCCTGCAGCCTGCTGCCTTCAAAGGAATTTTTGGCAGTTTCTCTTTCAGAATGACTCCATGACTCCATTTTTTGGTACACATCAGTCTGGGAAAATGGCTGTTGCTGCCTCTCTTTCAGATCTGTCCTAAAAACCGTTGTCACGATTGCTTATATAGCCAGAAAGTGTGCAGATTATAATGTGAGGGATACCAGATGCCTTAATTTATGGTTCTGAGAATGATTGAACTTTAGGTTGTGTTAGTAAATGCTTTCAAGATTTTCTTGGTCCCCATGTCAAGCCTATACCTCGTTCTCCTTTCCTTGTCACTGCAGGTCTGTGTTCTGGGTCTGCATCTGGCTAAAGAGCTCTGTGAAGTTGATGAAGATGGAGACTACTGGCTACAGATCACTAGGAAAGTCCCTGTGCTTCCTACGATCTTTGCTGCATTGGAGATCAGCCTGAGAGTTAAACAAAACCTTCACTTCACAGAGGCCTCATTACATTTACTGCTGACCTTAGCAAGGACTCAACAGGTGAGAGATGCAGAGAAATGAGAGCATATAGCTATACATTTTTAATAGGAACCATATATCTCATTATTCTGTCTGCGATGCAGCTGAACAATGATCTGTAGATAAAGGGTTGTTGGTGGGGTTTTTTTTAGAGGCTGGCAAGCCGTAGGTCCTGTATGTATGCCTGCTTAGTTTTGCCTTGTTCTTCTCAGTAATGGGCTGTCTCGGATGGAAGAGCTGAGCCAGCCAGAGCAGACCTGTAATCTAGAGCTGGCGCTTTCACTGAATGCATTCTTCTGCAATGCAAATTATCCCCCTCTAGTTAAAACAGCATTAAGTGTTGGAACCTGCTTTCTCATTAGTCACAATAAAGTGTTATTTATCTATTACAAATTCAACTTGTGTGGGGCTTTAGATGAAAGGAAGGTTGTTCCAAAGCCAGCCCTTTTCCAAGATTATGTACCAAACCAGGTGATATTGAAATGGAATTCATAGTACAGTTATGCAGGTTAGATTTTACTGGAAGAACAGTGTTGCTTTTCTTGATGCTGGCTTTTTAACAACATAGAAGTGTGTGTAGATGAATGTTCTCTAAAAGAGTGGTGCCAGTGCAAAGGGCAGAAATATCTAATGCAAACTAAGTCTCTTTAGTCTCAGAGAGCAGACACACGTGCAGATTTTAACAGCAGCTTGTTCTGTGTCTTGTAGGGAGCAGCAGCAGTGGCTGGAGCTGGTGTCACACAGAGCGTCTGCCTGCCCCTCTTGAGTGTGTACCAGCTCAGTGCGAATGGAGCCATTCAGGTGGGTGCTACTTCCTTTTGGGTGGGAATGCGCCAGGAGAGCTTGCTGTGCCCTGCCTTGTGGGTTGTGCTTGGAACAGAGTGCTCCCAGTCTAGGAGGATAGCAGCCACCTGTAGAGACTGGAGACTTCCAAAATGGTGTGGAGGGTTTGTGGTGTGCGCCACACTGGGCAGCACTGCAAATAAGTAATTTATTTTTGTATCTGATTTGTTCAGACATCTGCTTCATCTCGGAAGTCTCTGGATGCTCCCTCTTGGCCTGGGGTCTATCGTCTCTCCATGTCACTGATGGAACGCCTTCTTAAAACACTTAGATACAACTTCCTGACGGAAGCACTGGACTTTGTCGGTGTCCATCAAGAGAGGATTCTTCAGGTATGTCACGTACTTCCTCTGTGATGGTTCACTTGGCTTCTGTGTTGCAATAGTAGTGGAATCATGTCAGAAAGCGCAGAAGCATTGAAAAGGGGCTCCTGCCTCAAAGATTTACAGTAGAAATAATTCAATAGTGAGAGAAGGAGGATGGAATACACAAGCTGTGCAGTCAGGCAGGGATGATTGTTATGATACTAGAGCTGGGCAGTCACCATCTGTTCATTCTGTTTGCTCTTGGGGTTATAACTTTGCTACAGGTGTTTAATATGCCTACTCAGCGCAGCAGCAGAAGTGAGAGCTTGATGGGAACTCACTTTTTGGCTGTCTGCTCTGGAAAGAAAAGTATGAGAGCTGTTCTTGGAGGTGGCTTCAGTTCAGCCTTGCTCAAATAATGAAAATGCTGTGGTGAGGGTTCAGTCACCATTCGGGTCAGCAAGCTCTCTTGTCCTGCAGTACTGAAATACCTGAACCGGCTGGACTGTGTCAGTGCAGATGCACTGAAGAATCCTGTTTGTACATAGGTGCTGCACATAGTACCTGTTTATGTGCTCCCTGGGCAACTAGCTGTCATATGGCAGCGCAGTTTGTTAAATCATTGACCTCTGACTAAGAACGTAAAGTTCTCTGAGTCTGACCCACGTGCTGTGCAGCTACTTTCATGAATGTATTTTCTGTCCCTGAGGGCAGATCTTCTGCATCTTCACCTTTTTCTTCGAGAGGATGGAATGGGATTTTTGTGATTTAACTGTCATTGCCCTGATTTACTTTTCTCTCCTTTCCAGTGCCTGAATGCAGTACGGACAGTACAGAGCCTAGCCTGTCTGGAAGAGGCCGATCACACTGTTGGATTCATTCTTCAGCTCTCAAATTTCACAAAGGAGTGGCATTTCCACCTGCCACAGCTTATGAGGGACATGCAGGTAGGAATCGGGATATTGCTGTGGATAATACATTGCCTCGGGGAGCAAGGATTTGGATGTGTTAAGAGAAAATGGCACTATGTCACCTTTTTATTACTGCTCTTTTAATAGGAACTACTGCTGAGGTCATTTAAATATCTATTCTGTCAGTACCTTGTCTGAATTGAGTGAGAACAGATAACTGTTGGGGACAGAGAGACGGTAACTTGGAAAAATAACTTGGGGAATTCAATGTCTTACTCTCAGTGCCAGGTGACTCGGAGAAGATACTGGGAAATCAAGGGACTGCACTGATCCTTTATGATCACAGTGTTCTGTTTAACTGGATTTTCTAGCTTCCACCAGTGATGGTGAACAGATGGGGATTCAGCTTTTAAGAGATTTCTCCCTCACCTTATTTATTTCAGGTGAATCTGTGTTACCTGTGCCAGGCCTGCACCTCCCTCCTGCACAGCCGCAAAATGCTCCAGCACTACCTGCAGGTGAGGCTGGGGACCCTAAACCGAACTGTAAGTTAGGAGTGTTGCATGCTCGTGCTCCCTCTTAAAAGGCAAATATTATTCAATATCCAGGCTCTTGGATATTGAATTGATTATCTGTAATCCTAGTGGTGATTATGGACAATCAATCATCAATAGTTAAGATTTGCATTTTGCCACTGCAAAGAGTAGTCTGGACTCTAAAAACTTTGGACTGTGTAGAGCCAGTCCTAGAGAAACAGCAGCCTGTGTTGGAATGGTGCTGTTGTCATCTTACAGCTGCCTACGCTGCAGCAAGAAGGCTGCATTGCTGTAGTACTCTGTAGGGCCATTAATTGACCTGGTGTCCTTGATCTGATTAAATTTGCTCAAGAGAGATAGCTCTTGTTCTTGGGGAATCCCTAGATTCATGAGGTGGAGATGACGCATTGCTACTGATGTGTTATTTCACCATGGCTAAGGCTTGGTGTGTTGATGAGAGATTCTTTTTCTGGAATGTGGAATCTAAATAGCCTCTGCAGCTGCCTTCCTGCAATGCAGTGCTTCCCCTGCTGCACACTAAGTGTAGTTTCTACAGCTTCTAGCAGGTGACAGACTTTGGGTGCCTTATTTCCTCATTCCTTTTGTTCATAACTTGTTTTCCCCTCAAAGTGTTTATCTTAGCGCAGAATAATCATATCTGTATTCAAGATTTTCTTTTTTCTTTCTCCACAGACAAAAAATGGTGATTCCCTTCCATCAAGCGTGACTCCACGAGTGCAGCGTAATCCTCAAGCCTCCTCCAAACATCCCAGTCCTGAGTCAGAGGCAGCAGAGCAGAAAGCACTGCTCACAGTGCAGTACAGCCTCTTGAAAATCCTCAGCAAATCTCTTGCTGCCTTGCGTCATTTCACCCCTGACGTCTGCCAGATCCTCCTTGATCAGGTAGAGGGGAGAGATGCTGCTCCCTGAAGCAGGGAATTTCCAGCATTTCAAGTCTGGGTCTATGTAGTGAGGCACGGTCTGTCCTGCTTAAGACAGTGACCCCACCATACATCTGACTGCTGCACAGAACAGGAAGGCAGGACACAGGGAATTCCCCTTAGGAATCAGGCGCTGATCAGTGTGAAAGGAAGGGTTGGCTGAGCTTTTGTGTGATCTGCACAACGTGGTGTACGTGTAACCTTACTGGAGCAGGCTAATAACCCAGCTAGGTTTGTATCCTCAGTATGTCACTCGTCAGAAAAGACAGCCTTTTGTTATCCTCCTGTGGCTGGCCTCCATGTTCAGAAAAGGAAGGTTTAATCCTTGAGTCTGGCAGTGTCCTGCTGCTAACTTTTGGACAGTTAACTTCCTTGTCTTGTGCCTCTAGGGACCTATGCCTGGGCATTTGAAAATGATCTGGAAACAGTCATTGCTTTAGCTTGCCACTTGGTGGCAAGCTGTACGGCTTGGGAGTTGGAGACGGCTCATTCGTGTGAGGAGAGCCATATAGTCCGATTGTGCAGTACTCTAGAGAACACTCTGCTGCTCCATCTGTATACCTGAGATTTGGGAAATTATCTCAATGCTTCTAGTTCTCCATACAAAAGGCGTGATACAGGGAGTAGGTATTCCTGTTACTATTACAATAGTGTACTCGTGGCCTCAGGGGTTACTCACTCTGCTTTCTGCTTCTCCACAGTCACTGGACCTTGCTGAGTACAACGTGCTCTTTGTTCTGAGTTTCACCACACCAGCCTTTGATTCAGATGTTGCACCTTCCTTTGGGACCCTCCTTGCCACAGTCAACGTGGCCCTTAACATGCTGGGAGAGGTACTGCCATCTCAGTGTTTGGGAGAGCACAGCTGTTGCAGGGATCTCAGAGCACTCATTCAGCTGATACTCTGAAGAGTAGGAGTATTTCCTTTTTTCTAACTCCTCTCTCTAATGCCTGTCTCTTTTTTTTCCCTTTAAGCTGGATAAGAAGAAGGAACCTTTCCCTCAGGCTGCAGGGCTGAATATGCAAGAGGGAACCAAAACCCTCAAGTAAGTTTCTAGCTGTTTGATTTAATCATGGCCAAGGAGCAGAACCTGATGCTCCTCAGATCAGAACTGAGAACTGAGGTTTAGGTGCATTTGTGTAGCTTCAGCTGCTCACTCTGAATCCCAGCAGTGCAGACGGCCCATCAGAAGCTCTCCAAAGCAAGCAGGGATTTTTTTTGTGAGGGTGTGTGAAGCCATCCCACCCTAAGATGCAGTGTAGAGAGTTGTTTGATGCTTATTTACCAGTATATTTAAATCGGACTTCCCTGATGGCCAAGAGTGGTTTCTACTCTGCAGACCATAGCTTTTGGGTATTGCTACTTGAGCAGAATATGAAGAGCGACCGCGTTCCCTCGTACGTACCCTGTGTGTGAAGTCTTTTTAAGAGTCTTTGACCTTGAAACTAGTGTGTGCTGACCTTTTTGGCTCCTGCTGACGAGCGTTTCTTTGCACAGGTCTCTGCTCATGTTTACAATGGAAAACTGTTTCTACCTGCTCATCTCCCAGGCTGTTCGGTACTTGAGAGACCCAGCTGTGCATCCCCGTGATAAGCAACGGATGAAACAGGAGCTCAGCTCTGAGCTGGTAAGCAGCTTGTACCATCCTTTCTCGCTGTTCAGTGTAGATGTGTCTTGTGGGAGAAGGTCATTTGGCTGCCCAGTAAAGCCTACTTCCCAGCACGAGTCAACAGCCTTAAGCATCTTGTACTGCATGTACTGGTCCCTGTTCCTGTGCCACCGGCACCTTGCTTGGGGAGGGAGAGGGATGTGTGTTTGAAAGAAGCTAACTTGTTACACGCCTCTAATTTCAGAGTACACTGCTCTCCAGTCTGTCTCGTTACTTCCGCCGCGGTGGTCCCTCTTCACCTGCCAGTGGGGTTCTTCCCTCTCCCCAAGGAAAGTCTGCCTCCAAGCTGGGTCCTGAGGGGCAGGAGCCTTTGTTTCAGCTCGTGCAGGCCTTTGTCCGGCACGTGCAGAGATAGGTTCTGTCCTGCCCCTGCCTCCCTTTTCAGGACTTAGAGCAGAATGATTCACGTCCACCACAGAAGGCGTCACCTTTGGCAGAGCTCGTAAGAAGGACTGGGAAAGGGAGGGAGGCCTGGTGTGGGCAGTGGTATAAACCCAGCTGGAACATCAGCAGCGAGATCCCATTGAACTCTTGCAACCCAGTCGCAGAGTGAATGAGATGGAATGGAGGGAAAGCCGAGAGCGGCTCTTCGGTGGTCAGCCCGCGTGCGCAGCCTGCCCGCTCCATCTGCTAGAGCATCCTGGCTGGGTACAAGTGCTGAACAGTCAAAACATTTATTTTTATAGCTTGTAGCTCAGCCGGGGAAGCTGTGGCTGGGTGGAGAGAGGAGACAAACTTTCTGCTGGGCATTAACTCTGCTCTTAACACAAGGTGCGATCTGCCTCTCCCTCACAGTCAGAGTCCAGTTAAGGCACAACCAAGGGATCAGCCAGCAATTCAGAGACCATCTTTCTACTGCTATTTTTGTACTAATGGTTCAAGGCAAGATGGTGTATGTGTGCTCACGCCTTCCCATCACCCTGCAGTCTGTGTGTTGTGTGTGTTTCTGAAGAGCAAGGCCTCACTCAAAGTTTTTAAGTCAAAATCCCATTGCTCCAGTCTTGCAGTTTTTTGTAACTGTGCTCTATTTATACTGATATTAAAACCTTTATAGACAGCACCTGGGTTCATGGTTTTGTATTGGACGTAGCAGCCTGCAGCACCAATTCTGCATCTTCTGCATAGCAGTTGTTCTGCTGCGTCAACTGGGCTGAAGTCCCAGCTAACGGAGATGTGAGTTGTGGCTGGTGAATGATGATCCAGATACCGTTTGAAGCTGTTACAATAATGAAAGGTTGATTCCCTCGGCTTTCCCACACCCACTCCCTTTCTCTTACTCTCACGTTGGGGAACTCGTAGGAGGTTTTAAATGAGCGTGACTATAAAATACTCCTGAGAAATGATTCTTCTGTACGCAGTGGTGTGGGCCATGTGCATGGATTACTCTGTGCACAGGTCCAAGCTGCTACTCTGCCGGTTGCAGCAGCAGGGGAGGGTGTGGGTTCAGGCTAGAAGAAAGACACTGTCTGCAGTGAAGTTGTGTTTTGCTCTTGTAGCTCAAAGTAGATCAACAAACTCTTTACAGTTCCCCAACATGCGATGGGGACAGTGAGAGAAGGTCAGTGATTACTGCTTAAAATAAAGCCTGAAATCTAGACAGACTTTTCTAAAGAAATCAAATTTCAGTGTAGCCGTGAGCTAGTAACCTACCACTTCCTTCCTAAAGAGACACTTGATTGCTTTACCAGTCAGAACCTCTTTAATCTCAATGGTTTTAAGAGACTAGAGCAAGAAAATTAGATTATGTTGCTTTGAGGGTTCTTTTTCTCTTGAAAGCTTAAGGCATGGTGATATTCTAGCACACCTGTTTGATCCAGTTTTACTTGCCCTGGAGGCTTTGGAGGGATTTGAACTAGCTGCCTGGAGCAAAATGATCTTAAAGTAGAAGGGATAGGGGCTTGATTACCTTCCAAAACCTAGGGTGAACTGCTCTGACGGAGGGAGCTGGTGTGACAGTCCCGAGGCCAGTCGAGTTGAGATGGGGTTACCTGTAACCGCAAATGCTTTCTGCCACATGGAACTGTGAGCGTGAACATGGAGAATGGAAGGTGAAGGACTGCGCACAGAAGGTGCGAGATGGTGACAGGTAGCCATGGCCATAAAGCCAGAATCCCGTACATCTAGGCAAGTTCATTAGCGCTTAGGACTGTTACTGGATAACTCTGGTAGGTGTATCCTTTTGTTACAGCCTTTGAAGTTACGTGCACCATGCTAATCACTTCATTAGCATTCAATAAGAATGAGTAGAATGAAAATTCAGGGAGAAGTAGTGTGTTCTTTTAGATACTTAAGCACTGGAGTGAGTTTATGGGGCTAGGCACACGAGTCCTTGGTGCCAGCTAGCAAAGAATAGTGGGCGCTGTTGGTTACAGCCGTGTGTGAGAGCTATAGCTTCACTTCCGACAGCAGCATGTCAGCCCTGAGCTGTACCTCCCCTGCCCATCAGCCACACCGGGCACGGAACAGCCTCCAGCCAAGGGTCACTCACCATCACATCTGCAAATAAGCACCATGAGAACATAATCTTTCTGTAGAGAGCCAGAAGCAGCAATAGATTTTGCATGAGCTCTTTTATAATGCAGAGGGAAGGGAGCACTGGGAACAGACTTCCTTCTGGCTGTTCTGAGGGAAGAGACACCATTTTCTGCATCATTAAGCTGTGCTGTTTTTGCTAAAGCTGTTCTTCATCTTTCTTTAATGCACCAGGGAGACCCGTTGCAGGGAAAGGATGTCACTGGCCTGAGGGAGAGGTATACGTACAGGAGGGTGGATTTTTCAGGGGTAGACCTAAAAAAGGGTAGAACTGTGGTAGAGGTAATCAAGGCAATTGTAAAAGTACTAAAACGAGCATGACGTGATTTCCCCGTTCCCTTTCATTCGAGTTTAACTGTAGGAAAACTGAGTACTATTGCTACGCTACACAGCGCTTCAACAGCTGCTTTTCCCAGGAGTTCTTTCCAAGCTGGGTGCTAGGGACAAGGCTTTAGGATTTTAAATTAGCAGATCTAGTTTCCATAACAACAAAAAAAGTCTGTTAGATCTAGAATAGCACTTCCAGTCTCTCCGCAGCTGAAGTCATACTGCTGCTCTATTTTTGCTTCAGGTTAAGGAGGAGGTGTTGTTTCTTAAGAGTTCCTGAATCTGTACTACAACTGAAATGTGTCACCTGGGAAAGCAACTGCAAGACATTAACAACCTTAAGGCCTGGTGGGAGTTTCAGCTGGGAGAGGAAGGATGAGCAGCTTTGTTTTGCTTTTACTCAATGGCTTCCCCGCCTGGGACAGCACAAGAGCCCAGCTCCCCCACCCTGAGCTGCTTCCCGCTGCCTCCCTGCCAGCGCTGCTCATCCATGCGGTCTGCAATCGCACGGCAGGGGAGCATGGGCAGCCCCGACCCCATGCAAGACACCGAGGCAGGTCAGGCAGTTTGTTTATTGGCAAATAAGTGCTGAAAACCATGAGCCCTACATACACAGGTGCTCAGCGCCCTGTTACATTAGAGTGGTCACGATACCGTCGGGGAAAGTGCAAAAGATCAATAAACAAGCAAAGTTAGTTCTGACATACCGAGGGGAAGGTAGTGAACGCAGAGCTTGGTGCAGGTGAGTTTCTCTTCCATCCAGCTTGAGTGGAAAATGAGTTACACAACAGTGGAAGTCCTTTAGGTGAGCTCTAGCTAAAAAGCTCATTATAGGAATCAAAGCCATACACACCTGAGTGCTCCCTTTGAGCTAAACCAGCATTTCACCGAGGGCAGCCTGGATTGTTTAGTGCATGTTTGGCCAAGAATAGCTCGTTGTTGGAGATAACACAAGTGGGACTATCCCGTGCTGTACTAGGATGCACCAAGTCTGTTCACTGCTGAGGGGGGAGGGGAATTACTAGTTAAATCAGTGATCTCAGGTGAAAATAAAGTCAGGCTAAAACATGCCTGGAACAGACACACCGAAAGAAAAGCCTGGACAATTAACACGGGGCGCAAAGCTTGTAAAAAGGCTTGTAAACTCTTTGCAGTCCAAGAGCAGTTTCTCAGAGGAAATGCAAGCAAGATGCATGGTCCCTTGCACTGAGGTTTGATTTTCAACATACAGACACTATTAGGTTGGTCTTCTCAAAGAAATTTCCTTCCAGCTTCAGGGGACAGTTGAAGCCATCAGGCACCACGATCGCTCTTGGAGAGCCTTGCATTACTGTGCTCCCACAGATGAGCAAGGTGGATGGCTTTAACAGGCTCTTAATTCTTAAATTCTGCTTCCCTATCTTAAGAGCTAGAACATGTCAGAGGGGTGGGATGCTTCCCCACTGGAATGCTTGATGGTTTGACTCAGGCAACTCTACTGCTGAAGAAGAGAGAAGATGGGAGGGGCAGACAGGCACTAACCCACACCAGACACAAGGGAAGGGTAACTTAACTCCGTGAGCAGCTGCTGAGGGAAACAGCTTGCTGGCCCTGGCAAAGCCACCACGATAAACAAGACTAGGGTAGGGTAGAAAAAAGTAATCAAGGAATTTTGCGCCATCAAGACTAACCTCAAAGCAGGCTGCACTAGTAGGTTAACGAATTCAGTCTTGGTGCCATCAGCCCTTTCCCAAAACCTCACCATAAGAGTTTTACCACTTCTTTCCCACAATTCCCGTATTAGCAATGGAGTGTCAACCCTGAAGAGAGCAATGGTCTCGGATGAAGAAATCCGCGTTAGAAGTGCCAGGAGATGAGGGGTGCGTTCTGCTTGTACATTCTTCTTGCTGGAGACATTTAACTTAACAGTTCCAAGTAAGTGACAGGAACTTTCCCTTTCTGATTCCCTCTTTCCCCTATGAGCCAGTCTGGATCCATGCCTGGCAGGCTGTACACAGTGATCATCTGGGGAGAGAAGGCAGCGTTAGACAGGACCTTATTCTGCAGATAGAGCCCCAAGTTCAGTCAGGTGGGTACTGAAGGAACAATAATTCCTGAAGTTTGTTTAGCCAGCATCTGTGCCCTTTCCCTGGAGCTACGTGCAGCCTTCATAGAAGGATCTACAGAAATCTGCCCAGCGACATCCCTGTTGCCTTCTCATTCTCCAAATTGACTTAAGGTATTTTTGCATACAGGGCAGCATGGTATTGCTATGTCATCCCTTCTGAATACAGAAGTTCAGTCAACAAAAAGAGTCTGCAGCTTGCTGGTGGATGGCTTTAACAGGCTCTTAATTCTTAAATTCTGCTTCCCTATCGTAAGAGCTAGAACATGTCAGAGGGGTTGGGTGGGATGCTTCCCCACTGGAAGGGAAAGGAAAAAAAAAAAATTTCCTTTTTTCTCAGTATGATTAGACCAGGCCTCCAGCCTCCAGCCAGCAGCTTATCCCACTGCTCTCAGATAACGTAGCTGTATTTGAGGGTCACAGTGAAGACACTGAGTATCGGGGTATTTTGTTAGCTGGATACAGCTAGACTCCAACAGGAATTCAAGAGTTATTGGGGTGATGTTCTTAAATAGCAAATGGCCACGAGCACAAGCTCACTGCAACTCAGTGGATACTACTATCATGGAAAAGGCTATCATCAGTTCCCTAAAACAGGGTTAGAAAAAGTAACCAAAACCTTGCTGAGCATGAATGGGCATCAGCCAAATTCAACGGAGAGGAAAGCGACCAACCTCATCTGCAAGAAGTGCCAGCTCAGTGCTGTCAGCTGCTTCGTAATCGTAGAGGACTCTGGCCTTCCGTGTCCCGCTGGCAGGAGGCTTGACTTCATTTGGGTTCAGTACACTCTCTGCCACAGTATTGGGCACCCCACCAATCGTGGGCACAACCGGAATGGTAGGCACAGCAGGGAGTGTGGCAGCAGCAACAGCTGGAGGAGAGGTAGCAGCTGGGGGAGGAGATGTGGATTCTGCGTTGCCTACGAATGTGCCTGAAAATCTTACACAGAAGAAAAAAACAGTTCAGTAAGGCTCTAGTATGAGTAACCAAGAAAGAGCTTGTTCTTTTAGTAGTTACACTGCAGAGATGATGCTCAAGAGTTCCAGCTCACAGCTGGAACACATCTACACTGCCCTTTGAGTGGGGAAATGCACTCAGTTCTCAGGTGCTGAGATTATGCAACAGGTAACGTTTGCTTATTTTGATTCCAGTGTCCTGTTACAGGACTGGCAGCTAACTTCCAGAGTACGAGACTGAAGCCAGAGAGGGCTCTGGGCAGGCACCACTCTTGGCTCTGCAGCTGTTTTACTCGGTCCATTGTGCTGAGTCCTTCCCCTGCTCTCACATGGTTTGTGTTACCTGTTTAGTCTGCTAGTTCTTCAGGAAAGGGACAGTCATTGTTGCTGTTAAAACAGATGCCACAACTGGAGGCTCCCAGGCTTTGTGGACTCTCTGGACAGAGACAGTAATGGAGCTTGGTCTCGTTTATCTGTACACCCTCCTCTGCACTAAGGGAGTGCAGCTCTGGCCATTGTTGGCCTTTGTAGCGAGTCCGCAGAGACTCCAGAGTTTGGCTGAGGTGGAGAGCTCTTAGAGCTGTGCAACTACTTACATTTCTCCTTTGGAGCTGCAAGCATGGAAAAGAATGGAACAGGAGTAGTGAGTGATCATGCAGAGGCAACAGCCCCTCCTGGGTCAGGCCACCACACTGATGTGACAGGTTAACAGACAAACAGCCCTGCCTGTGCCCACGGGATGTGCAGCCAGCAGCACAGAATTAGTTACTGCTGCAGCTGAGCACACTCAGGCTTGCTGCTTGGCAACAGGAATTTGTCTCCCATGCGATTTAACTAATTTAGAGGAAGAATGTTTGAATTCTCATGGCCATCATGCTTTGAGATGAATGTATAAACCCCAGATGAATCCAATGGCAAAGCCTGCTCTAAATGCACTACCACCGGGATTAGTTTAAGCTCAGAAGCTCTGTCAGCGCTTGGAAGGGGCTTTAAAACTTCTACCCGATGTTATGACACGGGATGGGGAAGGAGGCCTGAGCTGGGGGTAGCCAGGTAAGTAACCCTTAGAGAAGTAAAAGCAGCCTCTTGTCTCACCTGCCCAGTTGCTTCTGCAGGTCCAACATGTACTGGTAACACTGAGCATAGTAGTTGGTCTGAGACTCCACAAACTCGTGGAGACAGCGCAGATGATTCACCTGGAGGAAGAAGGACCGAAAGCAGGTCTGTGAGTTTGGATGCCAGGCACGGGAACTCTCTTCCTGCAGCTTCTACCTACCCCCATGGGAAGCAGACATGTGCAGGCCAGTATTTAAGAGAGTTACTTGGTTGGCTTGAATACACTAATTCATTAAATTTGGGAATATTGCGTAGGCCCAAGGGCGATCTTGGACAGGAGGCTGCTCACGGCACTCTAGCCATACCCGTGTGGCTAGTCCACAGCTCTAGTGAGGGAAGAACAATTTTTTCTGGCTCGGAAGCATTTCAAGGACTGCAGGTGTCACCTTGGCACTGCCTACACATGCTTCATTATGTCTTTAGTTTGCACATTCCAGGTGTTATAAGGAGGTTGCTGTCGCCTCCCAAGTTATGACCTCTTCTACCCCTGCTACCAGTGCAGGGCTCCAGCAACCTCTTGGCATCCTTCAAGAAAGGAACCAGGAGTCTCTGTGGTCCCTGTCACCCCCCCAGTTACCTGGGAAGACTCACATGTGTGCTGCTGATGCCCTCCAGCAGGAGACGTGTCACCTCTGCCTGTCGATCAAACTCAGTCTGCGTGAGCCTTAGCTCGTGTTCCGCCTGCAAAGAGGATAGGGGTGTTCAAGCCAGCACAAGGAAAGGACCCCTGTTCTGCCTCTTCCAGGGAGGGGCAACACTCACCTCCTCCACCAACCCCCCCTTTTGGCACTGAGACAAGTGTGCTGTTGGCTTGGGAGCCAACACACGCACACATGTGAAACTGAATGTCAGGCACGAGACACACTGGGTGAGGATCCCAGAGGCC